AGAACTGCCCTAGTCATTTTTGGTTCAAAAGAAAGTCGGTCTAATTTTGAATCCTGTCAGTCTAGTTAGTATAACTTAGAGGCCAGTCATCCATGGAGATTGGACGCGACTATGATGGTTACAAGTACTATCAAATGGGCCTCTTTTAGTCATTCTGACTGTGTGCCAGTTTTAATAACAAAACACAATATTTGTTTTTATTGAATATCGTAATGTTTTTTTGGGAAAATAGGTCCGTAGCGCAGTAGGTAAAAGCGATAGCGACGTTGAGACAACAGACGCTGGCAGTTCAGTCGGATCATAGAAATTGTCCTTTATGTTTGTTCGATCTTTGTATCAATAACAATAACAAAATACAGTTAAAAACAATAATATACAATAATTTCCAACACTATCAAACAAAAACATAATTATTACAGCTAAGATACAGCTGTAGTTCTAGTGCAAATCGCAATTTCCGTGCCTTTGAAGTGGCGACTGCCGCTTTCGATACGGCCCCGATTCGGCAGCAACAACTGTCCTCTTTACATACAGTGTATGAGTATATATGAATAGAGAGCTGTGTGATAGGAAACTGAGTCCAGCATAAGATTATGCATTATACGCTGTTACAAGTTCTCAGTTCTACTATATGCCGTAGAAACTTGGACTCTCACACTGAACACAACAAGGAAGCTAAAGGTTTTTGAGGTGTGGATTTGCCACCGTTTTCTCAATAAACTGAAGAAAATAGTAGAGCTTATGAACTGCATTAAGTGCAGGAAGATGTCGTACTTCGGCCACGTCATGAGGAACAATAATTACAAATTACTCCAGCTCATCATCCAAGGCAAAATCGTTGGAAAACAAAGTGTTGGTAGAAGGCACTCCTGGTTGAAAAATTTGAGGTGGTTCGGTTGCAGTACCACCTCACTCTTTAGAGTGACAGCCTCTGAAGTCATAGACAACCACAAATTACACCCAAACTCACGAGAGAAATAAATGCAGGCCATACAAATATTTCTCCCGGCCTGGAATCGAACCTGGGACCTCTGCATGGCAGTCCGGCATGGTAACCGTTCGGCCACGGAGGCAGTTGACATGGCATGACAGGAGCATTGACTTAGTTCTGGGTAGACCGGAACTAATTTCAAAAGGTTCGTTTCCTAAATTAATACCAGAAACCGAACCCGAAATATCCTCATCTTTTTTTTTATAATATCAAGTTACGAAACGAACGAGTCGCGCGCCTGATAATAAGCTGCACGCCTGTTCATAATAGTTGCAGTGCCACTCAGAGCTTTAAATCGCAAAGATCTGAAGGGCGTTGTTACTGCACCCGTCACTCTGAGACATAAGTTTTCAAGTCCCATGTGCCTGTAATTTCACAGGACTGTAAAATACTAACAACATCCCAGGACTATATTACTAAAATCATAAACAAGAACCTTTGTTCCATGACGTTTAATAATTGATCAGATGTTCGTACAAAAATAAAAATAAAGATAACTGGGTAGCAAAAGAAAGTCCCTACTACCAAAAAATTTTTAAGAATCACAGCATGCGAGCGGCGTTGCTAAACAACTTACACCAAATACAATTCTAAATAACGTCAGGTAGTATAAGACAAATTAAAAGATTATTTTTGGTAAATACAAAGTATTTTACTACATAGTATACTTAGAATAATAACGCATAGAATGATAGTTTCATATCAAACGAACTGTCACAAGTGAGGCAAAAATTTAATTCATGTAGGCTAGTTTTAGTAGTAGGTTAATTTTCGGTTTTAGTGAATATTTATATAAAAATACAAGTTGAAACGCGTTACTTCCTTGTGGAATGTAATGTTAGTATCTATTTTATGTTTGTCTGACGTATTTTTACACTCATTTACCGCACATTTCGTAATTTTTAGCTAAAATTCTGGAGCTGTTCGCGGTGCAAGTTGACCTTGAGCACTGACGGCCCGCCCGCTCGTGTAGGCCCATTGGGAACGCTTCAATTTGCCTCACTTAGCGTGTGCGGACTAGGTTTCTATGCGTTATTATTCTAAGATAGTATAATAAATACGTGACTTATCCCGGAGCAAAGGTGGGCACCTTATCACGCTTGCCGCATTTCCTCGCTGTATAGCAATGGACAATCTTTGCGCCAATAACAACCCGGCGCGGGAGCCATCTCCGCTCTCTCTTAGCTGTCGCTCGATTTCCGCTACAAACTTTTTCGCATCGGTACCCCAGCGACCCGTCGTCTCAACAGCATGCGGAACGAAAATGTCATGTAAATGTTTTTAGTAAATATATATTCTGATTTTGTCGTTTATGATGTAAGATACTGCCAGGTTTTCCTAGATACGGGTCTCGTCACAAACTTTTGCTTTTCTGTCTAATTTAAAAAATATATAAACTTATGGAATCTCTTTTAAATAGTGTAATTCCATTCTGAAAAAGGTAGTAGTAGACACTGGAGTTTTATTACTTAATTAAAATTTTATATTTACGATTTAATGTATGTTGACCTTTGAATACATTGTAAAACCTATTCTAAACATGTTTAAACTTTGTTTTCATTAGTACAATCCAAGCAGAAGGTCCGGTGCAAATAAATTAAGACCTTATACATGAGAACCTTGCTATTAAAGGCGAAGAGAAACTCTAAAAGCTTTATAACAACTCCAATGTATCACTAAAATGACTATAATTCTCTTGACTTAAAATTATACTAACACTGGCCTAATAAACTAGGTAACTTAGCCAATATTTACCCTATAATTTATTTAACAATGTGCTAAGGCTTTTCAGGGCAGTGGAGATAGTCTAGAAATCTAGATTACAGCCATAAAAGTGACGAAGATGTTGTGTTGTTAGTTAGGTTAACTGTCCGTTTAGTTACAGATAATTATAGCTGTTTATTATTTCAATAAACTTTTAAGGGTCATCATGGTGTTAGATTAGCAAAAGTTGGAATCGCAGATTAATTTATAAACAAAACGAAAACTTATTGATTAGTGACATTGAAACTTTCGATATTAGGGTTGACCAAAAACATGAAGTGAAGAACACCGGTGAAAAATGACTGTCCGAAATGTCACAGGGACCATTTTATCTCAAGTGACTTTCGTATTTTCTCGGATTTGAATCGGACTTAGTGCACAAGCGACTTCCGAAGTGGGTCCGACATTGCTACATTTCTATAGTCTCTGATTCGCTCAGTTATGAGATTTATTTTTCGAATTTAGAAAGAAAAATAGTTTATTTGATAACTTGATTCCCCGTAGTAAGATTGTTGCCTTTCATAAACAGCATAGTGCAACCGTTGGTATATTGTCGGACGCGCTTACCGATCGCCGCAATCCTTAGCAAGTAATCATTGTAATACTTTTATTTATTTTATTTCATTTAATCATTTATTGCACAGAAAAACACAAATCATATTAAGTAAAAACGAGAACACAGACCTTTTGTCTTGTTCTTTTGTTTGTATTCCTCATTTCTAAATGAAATTTCTTCCTGCAGACCAAAATACAGGACAAAATAATTACAATACGGGTTTACGTGCATTACAAATAAATGTAATAAAAAACATTATTAACTACATAAATGAATATTTCATAATATAATACCTATAAAATGGATGGAACAGTGGATAAATAGTGCTCTTTAATTCTCATTTTGAAAATATCCAAGGAGTTATATTCACTATCGCGAACAGTAATGGGAACTGCGTTTCATAATCCGATCGCAAGAACAGAGTAGGAGTGAGAATAAGAACTGGAATTGAAGGACGGAAAAGGTAACAGGGACCTAACGAGAGAGCGAAGAAAGCTGAGAAGGCTGAAACGCTCTTTCAGATACCCAGGAGTCATATGGTTATGTAGAGTATTGTAGAGAACTTGAGCTGACTGAAATATTGTGAAGTCCGGTCATACTTGTTTTATAATTTATTTTATTATCTATTTCTTTTTCTCTTTTTGTATTCTTTTTTAAGAAACTTAACGATTAAAGTTATTCTTTTCAATGCAAGCTGTGTTTCATCTGTAAGTTTTACCAAAATGATCTTAACCTGTTATTCCACCTTTTTTTTCGTGGGGACATCCTCCTAGAATACCTCTCCGCCGCGGGGGCAGAGGTTATGCCGGACTCCTACCGGCTAAAACCCCACGGTGGCCTTCTCGGGTGCTCTAGTGGGAGGGATCCGGGATCGACTTTGCGCACCGGAACCCCCCCAACACCTAGGAGCAGCTACGTCTTCCCCCTGCCCTCTTCACGACGAAACGGGCCACACCGCCCCATCATCCTCCTCAACCTGTTTCTATTCTACCCGATTCAATGTGGCTATTATGTCTTCGCATGTCATGTGTAGTAGGTCTTTTAACCTTTCTTTGCGCGGTTTTTTTATGATACCAAGTGCCGGGACGAACAAGTTTTGCTCCTGGTGGTAAGCGACACGCCCGTTCATAACAGTTGCAGTATCATTCGGAGCTTTAAATCACAAAGATTTGAGGGGCACTTCTATTGCGCCCGTCACCCTGAGACAAGTTGACAAGTCCCATGTGCTTGTTATTTCACCAGAACTCTTACCCTTCAAAATGAAACTCAGTAATACATCCATCTCCATCACTCGCTCAAGGTTATGCAATAAAACGCCTACCGCTAAGTGCGCCGACGTCGGCGCAAGCTCTTATACTTATCTTTCATTTATGAGCATTCGGTTTCGCACGACTGCACACGGCGGGCAACGTTATCTTCACCTCTCTGAGAGCGTGCTTAGATTCCTTTTTCCTCGTAGTGAGCGCCTGGTGTCATAAATCAGATTTAGGAGGCTATTATAGCGTAGGTATTTTCGATTTTGTATGAGAGTGATGCATCTATAACTATTAAGTAATCTGTGGTAATACTTACGTTACTGCTTAGCGGCAGAAATCATTGCGGTGGCGGTACTTCCCTGGACGAACTCTTTCACAAGGAGCTCTACTGCTACAAAACATGTTACTTATTAATCTATTTCTCTTTGTTTCAGATTAAACGGTGAACCTTGACGTACTACTTAAATTACATTCCCAATAAAACAAAGCAAAATGTGTAATTGTTTTAATTGCAAATTGTGTTTTATTAAAAGATAGTGGCAGTGTGTTCAATACTTTTAATCTGAATTTTGCATTGCTAGTGATTTTGTGAACTTCAGTAATATAAATAAACAAATAAAAATCAAAATGGAAGCTCTAGAACGGAGAGGGAAGGTGCTGGCAATAGCAGCTATAGTTTTCATCGTGTTTTGGTCGCAATGTAAGTATAAATGAACTGCAGTTCAGTTCTAAGCCTCACATCATTTCATGTTCCCCGCAGGCTTCCTAGATTTCTCCGTGCTATATATTTGTTTTTGCAAGTAACTTACATGGTTAGTTAATGCTTTTTGTAACTTATTTTTACACTGCAATAATTTACTGTGCATGTAGTGTCGGTCTGTAGTAGATTCTGCACTTTTTAGTTTTTGCATGTATGTCTCTGACTATATAATTGGTATAACAATTGTTGACTGGCCAATAAAATAAAAAATAAGTAAAAAACTACATTTCTATTAAATTATATCGCTAGTCTGGTAATGAGCACTTGCTAAATAAATAAAAAAACCCGATACAAAACGGTGTACTACAGAAAAGCTAATTAGTCACCATATGTAAGCTAACTACTCATCGACACCAGTTCAATGAGCCAAAACACAATAGTTCCATTTAAAGCATGAAACACACTGACAGCGGGTACGTGTCGGGCTCGGGGCGGGTCGGGAGCACGGCAGGTGTAATTCCGTGTATATATTATGGAAGACAACGCACCACGAGCGGGCGCAGGACCCAATCTGCGCCCGTCTAGCGCCCGCTCGTGGTGTGTTGTCGTCCATATAAATACACGTAGTTACACCCGCCGTGCTCCCGATCCGACACGCGCCGGACCCGCACCCTTTCTCTGTGTTTCACGCTTAAGTAGTTGAGGAGTTGGTTATTCTTCAGACAGTCCTGGTAGCAGTATCAGATTAATTATTGTAATATCATCAAATGTCCATCATCAACACATTTACACGTCTCTCTGGCACGGGTCTCCTCTCAGGCGAAGGTTTAGGCTATAGTCCGCTACGATGGCCCAATGCAGGGTGCGGACTTCATACGGTTCCGAGGTTTGCGAATCTTCTTCGACGTACAGGTTTCATGACGATATTTTCTTTCACTGCAAAGCGCATGGTAAATTTCAAATTAAATTTCACACATAAATTCTAGCCAGGATTCGAACCCACGGCTTCTGCTTGAGAGGCGGTTGGTCAAACCATTAGGCTACCACGGCTTCTACTCAATACAATATCAAGTAAATGACAATGAGTCTACGGTCGTGGTGTTAAACATTTTAATAATAGCTATGAGGGTACGGGTTGCCTGATATTGCCACTGACGGGCTGCGCGAGTAGCGTAGCGCTGCATTAAACCGGCAAATGCAACATAAACTTTATTCGCTACAAGATAAAGCAACATTTCGTTAAACAAAAAATTTAAAACGAAACTTCAGGAAGCGACGGCGGGCTGCGGCAGGCGCACCTTGTAAAATGCAATATACTATAGAACATATTCTGTACTAAATAAGGTATACATTTCTTCTAATAATAATCTCAGTACAGAGTACTAAGAAAACCGACCTCAAAAGTACATGGAATTACGTCTATTTGCTAAGTTTTATTGAAATATCACCTAGTTCGCCACTATACAGGATTTGACACTGGAGATAATAATAATCGGTTCTCACTACTCAAAGTATATTGAGAGAAAAACGCCTCAAATTGGAGAAATAGCAAAATCAACCATTAAAATAATTGCTCCTAAATTAAAGTTAGGCGCTATTTATAAAAATGAATCTTCATGCGTGAACGGCCACCCTTAAAGGTGGATGATTTTCTTCAAAATTAAATGGGACCACTATGGAAGTACCACTATGGAAGTTTCCAACAAAAAAAGAATCATGAAAATCACAAATACCGGAGTTATCGCGTAACATACATACAAAAAAAAAGAAAAAAGAACATACAGTCGAATTGGGAACCTCCTCCTTTTTTGAAGTCGGTTAAAAATTAATAAAAGAGTAAAACCACGCTGCGTTGTGGTGCTCGACGCAATCTGGCGTCGACTACTTGTCCCGCCTCGGGCAATACAAAGTGTAACTTACCTTCACAACTATAAGGTATACGTGAGGCGCACTATAAGTTTCCGGAATGAATAAGAAAAAAATACTACAAATGGTCAGAAATGAATTTATTGTTTCTCAAAATATTCTCCGTTAGCGTTATTGCACTTTTTCATACGAATGAACCAATTTTGAAAACATTTATGCCACTCCTCCGTGACAATCTCTCAAACATATTTTTCATACTCTTCGACAGCCTCTTCAGGTGACGAAAATCGTTGACCGCGTAAATGGTTCTTAATTTTTGGAAAAAAATAAAAGTCACAAGGTGCCCGGTCGGAACTGTACGCGGGATGGCTCATAGGGTCAACGTTGTTCACCTTCAAAAATTCATTTGTCTGTCTGGCCATCGTGATGCAAGATGATACGACGTTTACAGTTATTTCTATGAAGTTTGTCAATAACTTCCGGCAAACAAATGGTCGTGTACTAATCACTATTCACGGTACAATGATTCTCCAAAGCAATAGTAGCCACGTGTCCAGTTTTATTAAAAAAGAAGCAATCATCCGCTTAGAGGCACTTTGCACGCGCGCCACTTCGGTTGGTTTCGGCTCATCTCGAAAGACCCATTGCTTAAGCAGTTTTGAGATCGTAACTATAAACCCATATTTCGTCACCTGGTACTAAATTTGACGCCACTTCATTGAATCTGGTAAGCATGGCATTGCACCAAGTGCACCGTTTGATGAGCCTCAGTCAAATTGTATGGGATCCACCGAGAGCACAGCTTTTTCACACCCAAATGTTTGTGTAGTATTTGACTCATGCCTGTGCCTAAAGATGCCCGAATCTCATGGTACGCCACATGCCTGTCTGTTTTGATCATGCGGCGCACAGCATCGATGTTTTTGTTGTTCACAACAGTGGACGGGCAACCATCACGAAATTCGTCACTGAGATTCACACGACCGCGTTTGAATTATGCAAACCAGCTATAAATAGTGGTCTTGTATGGTGCTTCAACGCCAAAAGCAGTTTGAAGCCGAGCGAAGCTCCGCTGAGCTGTTAGCTTACACTTAAAGTCGTAGAAAATCATACTACGAAAATTTTCACGAGTTAAATCCATGGTGATGTTCAACAACCAATTTGTAAAATGACGCCACAATGTAAAAACAAGTGGCAGTCAGATGAAATAAACTGCATTCTACAGCCAAAGAGTTCCATTTTCAATTTTGTAATTACTTTTTAAATATTGTTTAAGTAAGTGGCCACTTCCGGGAGCTTATATTGCGCCCTATGTATTCCTTTAAAAAACAGACTGCTTAGTAGATGCTATACAATATACAATTTCATTTTCTACTTAATAAAGTCGGTATTTCTTTGAATGCAAAGTCTTTAGAGGCTTTACTCTTTCGTTTGTAGAAATGCATATTTTATTTCGTGAAGAATATGTTATATAGTAAGTTGCATTTCATAAAGTGCGCCCGCCACTGCACTCCGCCACTTACTGCAGCTTCGTTTTCATTTTTACTTTAACGAAATGTTGCCTTATCTCATTGAGAATAAAGTTTATGTTGCATTTACTCGCTTTAATGCACCCCCGCGGCAATATGAGGCAACCCTTATAATAAAACAAAAAGGAAAATAAAGTCGAAAGAGTTACAGTGAGATGAAAACGTGTTTGTGTATATTTGTGTAAAGTGTGTATGTGTACATAATATAAATTTTATAAATAGTTACACATAACAGGAATTAAAATTACGTAGTTAATTACTTTATTTACTACAACTTAATATATATTTTTTTATGTACACATCAAAATATACCTTAAAAAACTAAGTAATAAAATTGTAAGTCGTAAAAGCAACATGGAAATACAACTCAAATCACTTATTTCCGCCATTCCTGACGAAACTAGACAAATAATATACGGCCTTGAACTTTTGCATATTCAAAATTTGCATGTGTTTGCATCAATTGACGAAAAGACAGGCCAACGACCAATTTAGATTACCTTGAAATACCTAGAAGAACTTGTCTTCCTACTCGTTCTACCATTATGGATAATCTCGCTCCTTTACTGGACTGATTGTTGTTTATGATTATTTTAGTCTGCTAAAAGGGTATCTCTACTTATTACTGCTCACAATAGAACGGTGACTACTGGTTTTCTAAATCGGTATGAGTACAAAGCGCATGTTTGAAGTTTTGAGTGGCATGAAAACAAATTGTAGTGATATAAGCCATTTACGAAAGCTTTTATAAAACATTCTTTAATCGTATTTGATATGCCTCTATGATGTTGATATTAAACAACATAAAAATTACAAATGGATATAACAAAGGTTCCGAAAAACAAAAGACTAACATAATACGAAAAATAAATGCAGAATAAAAATAAATTTAGTAAACAAATACGCTTATCGAAGCGTATAAACAACCTCTATATCCCCTTATATAGCTCATATACAGCTCTATTTATATCGTTCTACGTCTATAGGTAAAGGCGTGTCGGGGCACCGGAACTCGACTAAGATGTCGTACGTGTGCCCGCCCGAGTTCATCCGACTCGGCCACAGCTGCTACTACTTTAGCGAGAACAAGGCCACGTGGCAGAGTGCGCTATTTGCCTGCAAGGTAAGTTCATGCCCCCTTTCTAAGGGCCATTTCTTATAAGACGCTTATATACGCGCTACTGTCGCTTCTGTGGCGTAGCATCTGCGCCACTAATAGTTTTCATATAATATCTAGAATATATATATAAATAATTCTTGAAGGAAAACGTGCGCGCAGCTAATTCTATGGCGAACTTAAAGCTGACGTAATAATCTTAATTGTACAATAAGTAAGACTATTATCTTTTTCGAATATGAATATATTTCATTATAATTCCATTTACATATTCGCAAAGACGTTCAAGATGTCAATGAATACATTATTATTCAACGGGCAATTAATGTGTACCTACTTGCACGTATTTCGATACAAGACGTCCACCTCACCGCAGCTTTCGTCGATCGGTTAGTAAGCCGCTCACAACACTGTATCCGATCTCATATATATTCGAAGTGAGTACTTAATAAACACGTAACAATTAATTATCGACAATTAAGGCATGATCATGATCTTATAATAAAGTTTATAACGTAGGCATTAATTTAGCATTAATACCTACTGAATTGCATACTTTTATCTTTATTGTCCGAAACGTGGGAAGTTAATGTCCTTCAGTATTTAAACAAATAATATTTATTACGTGCGAAAACGGTAAAATAACGCATACGCAGCATGTTCCTAATTATATAACAAACATATTTCATTCGTTAAAGAAACTTAAGCGTAAATGCTTTGTAAAGGTTTTTTTGATGACCTTAAACAGCTCAAGTGTTACCTTATCAACCACAGGCAATAGTGTTGTAGATAAGTAATTAAATGTGCATGCCGTCACATTGATTCAAATTTATTACAAGCCGTAAAACTCTAGTGAATCGGCCTTAACTTATGATGTTGCCTGACATATGAAACGCGTATTTCATTGAGACCCCGTTTAACGACTGGAAAAAGGTTGTGAATAGTAAGTATAACGTTACTAAAATTAATTGATGAATATTAGATCTATTATAATCCACAGCATAGATCTTTACAAAATAGAAAGTTTGGTCATAAAATTCACGATAAGTACACGATATAAGTTTAACAACTTAACGTAGCATGAAAGTTACAATGTAACGCCTATTTACGAACGACGATGAGGTGTTATGGACTATTATCTTCATTAAAAACTGCGTATAAGATAACAATTATACTTCTGCAAAAACAGTTTGTTGGCGAGGTTACTTTCAAAATCACAAAACTCCATGATATGCTTAATACATTTATCGAAACCAGTTGTCTATGCGAGAATAATATTAGGGGTTAAAGTATGAAATTGCCGTTTTATTGCAATAGGTTCTTTGAATTTTCATAGAATCTTCATGGTTTGAGGTTTTCGAATGAAACTTTTTTCAAATGGTTTCTGTGATTTTTTTTTTTTAAATTTGAATCATTTGAATATCGACTTTCAATGGATATTTATTTATATTTAGATGGATACTGCGAAAATTCGAGTGATTTTTGAATACGAGTTCCGACGCGGAACTAACGCGGCAGAAACAGCCCGCAATATCAATGCTGCGTTTGGAGAGGGGTCTACTAATGAACGCACCGTGCGATTTTGGTTTAAACGCTTTCGTGATGGAAATTTCGACTTAAAGAACGAGCCACGAGGAAGACCGCCCACACAGGTGAATAACGATGAATTAAGAGAGGTAGTGGAAGCCGATCCTAGTCAAACTACCCAGGAATTAGCGGCATGGTTTAACGTTACCTTACCCACAATATTGACTCACTTGCGTCAAATCAATAAAATAAAAAAATACGAAAAATGGGTGCCTCATGATTTGACTGATCTGCAGAAAGAAACGCGTGTTGAAACTTGTGTTGCCTTGTTGTACCGGTGCAGAAATGAAGGAATATTGGATCGAATTGTAACATGTGATGAAAAGTGGATTCTTTATGATAACCGGAAAAGAAAAATGCAATGGCTGGTCAAATCCGGTCAAATGCCACAACAGTGTCCTAAAGCAAAACTTACCAATAAAAAGGTAATGGTAACTGTTTGGTGGTCTCAGCATGGTGTTATTCACTATAGTTTTCTCCGATCTGGTCAAGCAATAACGGCAGATGTCTATTGTGCCGAACTCCGAACCATGTTGACAAAACTAGCAGTAAAACAGCCCCGACTCATGAATCGATCTTCACCATTATTGCTCCACGACAACGCGAGACCTCACACAGCACGAGAAACCATTTTGACCCTTCAGGAACTGCAGTTAGAAACCATTCGTCATCCTCCGTATTCACCAGACCTTGCTCCAACGGACTACCATTTTTTTCGTGATTTGGACAATTATCTACGTGACAAGAAGTTTTCTTCCCAGGAGGCAGTACAAAATGCTTTCACACAGTTTGTGCAGTCTAGATCGTCGGAGTTCTATCGCAAAGGCATTAATAACCTTCCCATTAGATGGCAGCAATGTATAGATAATAATGGCAACTATTTTGATTAAATAAATTTGTTAAAAATTAAAAAAATAAACAATTTAGATTTTCAGTACAAATCGGCAATTTCATACTTTAACCCCTATTATTATCTCGCTCAAATCGCGCCCTTTGAAATTAAATAATTCTTATCAAGTTCTTAGGTTTCCGCGATTGTTACACATAGGAAATGAAACTATTTTTCCGGATTTAAATCGCGTATATTTGTTTTTTCGAACTTACCAACGTTTCGGGCCCTTTACAGGTTCCATGGACACGGTTTGTTAGAAAAAACAAATATGCGCTATTTATATCCGGAAAAATAGTTTTTTTTTTTTCCAACATAATGCTTTGTTCGCAAAAAAAAGATCTAATTCGTTAAATAATCATTGTCTAGAAACGTCTCACTTGTTTACTTACTTTTGATTGCACTTTATACATTTTCCCGGACTCGATTGGTACTATATTTGTTCGTTATGTTATTATTTAACTTATACTTAACTGCCTCTGTGGCCGAACGGTTACCATGCCGGACTGCCGCGCAGAGGTCCCAGGTTCGATTCCCGGGCCGGGAGAAATATTTGTATGACCTACATTTATTCCTCTCGTAAGTTTGTGTGTAATTTGTGGTTGTCTATGTGTGTGTCCATGGCACCTGCGACACAGGGTTTTCGGTATTTCCTAGTAGGGGGCTATGTTGAGTGTGTGCGTTATTATTATTATATTATATTATATTTACTATACACTATTATTATATTAAATTCGGTATCGTTATCCAACAGCGTTTACGGAGTTAGTCAGTGAAATAGAGTATAAGAAAAAATCAAATCCTTTTATATACACTTATAAGACTTTGAAGGCCTAAAATATAGGAATGCATTAAAATAAATTAAGACAATTGAACAAAATCCAGACTATATTTCAAATTATTTAAACTTTCATTCGATAACTGTGTTCTGAATAAAGTTTGTAGCCTTTTCCCATCTACCTTTTCCAGTCGAGTAATCGTACGGGTGTGACGTCATTTCGGTTCCGTTTCGAATACGACAGTTTGACGTTCGATTCGGGTGTTGGAAATAAAAATTAAAAGAAATCATACGATATCAAATCGAATGTAATATAAATATGGAGTTTCACCAATATGCAAATTTTTTATAGCGTTTGGACATTGAATAGAACAAAGACTGTCATTGAAGAGACACATCTAACTCATAAGTTCGTTGCACAAATACCACAAATACCGAAGTGGCATTTACATATGAATTGTGGACTGTGGCAGACGTCGCGTCTATGTAATTTTATGCAAATCTGTTCTATTTCACGCTTCGGTGAATCATGTGTCAACTCGCGGCCATTAGAAGGTTGGAGATGGATTCTGCTACATTGTTTGATGCCAAATGAGGATGAAAACAAATACCATTTGCCTTTGCTTGCGTTATGGTAACACTTCTTTTTAGGACAACGTAAAAACTAAGGAAGTACAGCCACCACCCCTAGTTTTGCCGCCAGGCAGTAATGTGAGCAACACTGGGTTTCGGTTTTGAAAGATAAGGGAGCTAGTGACATTAATTACATGGATATCGGATTTGTCAACTTATGTCTCAGGATGACGGGTACAGTCGCAGTGCTCCTAAGTTCTTTGCGATTTAAACCTCTTGACTGGCACTGCAACTGTCGTGGATAGACGTGTCGCTTACTACCAGGCCCATGACTTGTTTGTCTCGTCGCTTGATAGCATAAAAAAGAAATAGATCTGTAAAAATAAAAATAAAAGATCTGTGTCTGGCAGTGTATAACCTAGTAATCTTACGAAGGCGATACATATACTAGAGTGCGTTATGCGTTTAAAAATAGATAATAATATAAAAATAATAATAACGCACACACCCACAGCCCGAAATCCTGTATCGCGGATGCCATGGACACACACATAGACACCACAAAATACACCCAAATTCACGAGAGAAACAAATGTAAGCCTTACAAATATTTCTCCCGACCCGGGAATCGAACCCGGGACCTTTTTGTGGCAAACCAGCATGCTTCGGCCATGGAGCCAGTTAATAGATACAATACTAATCATAACTTTTACAAAGTTTTATAGATATTTTCTACATACTTTATTCAAGTTTTTTACGGTTAGATTATGGAACATGAGATCAAACAAAATTTTTTTTTGTGCATTTTCTACATTTTCTACTTCAGTCACCAAAACTACTCTAGTTCGTAAACTATTCCACTAAATTAAATTAAATGTGTGACCATGTCGCTAGCTAACAATGAAGGGCAAACTATTTCCAGTACACGGGCTACAGAATCCGCGAAGCTATTGCCTCTGCAGATGATCACCACTAAACATTAAACATGGTACCCCATTAAAGGGAAACGCATCATCGTTACAGATCAAAGATTGAAACAATACGTCACGTCTCGTTACCTATAAAAAGAACAAGTTCACTCGATATAGTAACATTACTATGAACTTTAGGAATCCTTCACCTTGCATGATTGAATGCGGTAGTTGAAAGAATTTGGGGCACCTGTGTGCAGTTTAGGAT